ACGGCCATATGTTTTTTTTTTAATTTTTAATTTTTTTTTATCAAAATAGAAGGTTAGTATGTTAGGCTCATATAGCTGTTTACTGGGTCATTTTGTAATTTATTGGTTTTTTTTTTTTATATCAATTTTTTATTACATAATATATTGTAAGATATTATTCACCTTCAATATTTTCTTAATTATAATTTCAAAACATAGAATCAATCACAAGAATTCACATATATATATCTACATGTATCAAAATCAGTCAAAAACTTCAATCGAAAAAGGACAGAGAATAACCTGAATGTCGATGGGAGGCGAGGCAATGGTGAGGTGCGGTGGTGATGTTCAACGGTTGGAGATTGACGGACAGTGTGGTTGTGTATGATGCTGAGATGAGGGGCGGTGGTGATTGATGAAATATGAGAGAGAGAGAGAGAGAGAGAGAGAGAGAGAGAGAGAGAGAGAGAGAACAAATGATAATCCGGAGGGCCAAACATGAAACATGTTCATATGGCATGTGGGTGGTTATAACAAACTTAGACAGGAGAAAAAAAAATTCAACAACATATGATGATATGGAGAAATTTTTGTACACTGGAAAGTATAATTTATGAAGTACGGACACGGATACGGGACACGGCAATTTCTAAAAAATGGGGACACGGACACGGCAGGGGACATGACAAATTTTTTAATTTTTTTATAATTATTTTTATTTTAATGCACATTAATTATTTTATTTATTTATTATATTTTTTAAATAATGTGTTCTAATTAATTTTTTTATTTTATTTTACATATGTATTTATTTATTTATTTATTTTATTTATTTATTAATAAGTATATATTATTTTATAATATGTATTATATATTATCTTATAAGTATATTTATGTTATATAATAACTATTATATAATATATAACCATTGTATTATATATTATCTTCTAAGTATATTTATGTTATATAATAACTATTATATAATATATAATTATAATAGTTATTAGTTATAATATATAATAATAATAATAGTTATTATAATAGTTATTGTTATTATAATATAATAATAGTTATTATAATAAATAATAGTTACATATATTATACTATTATATGGATAAAGACGGGGGAGACAGAAGAGGCAGAGGGAGACAGAAACAAAAGCGAGAGAGAGGGGGACCACCGATCGTGATCAGCGAGAGAGAGGAGCCCAGCGATTGCGCGATCGCGATCAGCGAGAGAGAGGGAGACAGAAGCGATCGCGATGACGATCGCAAGGGAGGGAGAGAGAGAGAAGGCGAGAGAAAGAGAGCTCTGCAAATGCGAAGCCGAAGGCGAGAGAGAAGCTCTGAGTTGAAGTGGACTGGATCGTCGAAATGGACTGGATGGAGGTCGATTGGCTCGAGATCGAAGGCTGAGAAGTCGCTGACCAGGTTTGAACTCACTCTCTCTTTCATTTACTCTTCTCCCGTGTCCCATGGCGTGTCCAGATTTGGACACACGTGTCCCCGCCGTGTCTCCGCCGTGTCCCTCACAAAAAAATTAATTAAATTAAGGGGACACGCCAGATGCCGTGTCCCGTACGTGTCCCCGGCGTGTCCCCGTGTCCCCGGCGTGTCCCCGTATCCGACACCGCCACGGCTTCCATTTTGGCGTGTCCATGCTTCATAGGCAACTATCAATGGTTTTCACCTAAGAAGCATGGACACGGACACGTGACACGACACGGATACGACACGGACACGCCGACACGATAATTTTCAAAAAATGTAGGACACGACACGCGGGGGACACGCATGAAATATATAATTTTATATATTTATTATATGTTATATATATGAATATATCATTCAAAAATAATAAAAAAATGCAATATGACATTAATCCCTATAAATTTATATGATTTTTGTTTTATTATTGTATCTTAAGTTGTTTTGTTCAAACTTATAATTAGTTTCACATGTGTCTAATTGATAGACATGTGTGTTTAAGAGATGGACACGTGTGTCCTCCAAGTGTCCATAGAGTGTCCGGGTCTTTAAAAGATAGGACACGTTATAAAGAGTGTCGGACACGTGTCGGGAAAGTGTCCAAAGAGTGTCGGTGTCCGACACGGACACGACACGGATACGTTACCTTTTTAGAAGTGTCCGTGCTTCTTAGATTACAATACTCTCCCTTTTTATGAAATCTTTTTGAAAATTTTCAAACTTATCCTAAAAATATGTTTTAACCATTTCCAAGAAAAAAAACCATCTCTAATCCTTCATCTTTTTTTAAAAAAATTTGATGAAAAAGTACTTAAAAATCATCTCTAATCCTTTCATCAAATCAAGAGAGCCATTTTTTTCATCAAATTTAGAAACTCTTGAAATTTGAATTTGATGAAAATTTAAAAAGATGTTTGGGATTTTTGTTTTCCATCAAATTTGATGAGAAGGGAAATTTTTAAAAAGATTTCGATGAAAGGATTGGAGTAGTTTGTACAAATCAAACTTTTTACTCAAATTTAGAATCAAATTAGATGAAAAAATTGGTAAAGGGTTGAAAATGGTCTAACCCTTACTCTTTTTAGAATTTCGTCAAATTTAGGTGAAAACATGACTGTTGAATGATTTAGTTCATCCTTTACTTGGTGAAAAAAATGTCTCTCAATTGATGAAATGTTGGAGCACACTTTCAGCCATTTTTTCATCAAATTGAAAAAATTGATGAGAGATTGGAGATGCTCTACAATTAGTTAATTTCCTGATTGGGGCGATTAGCTCTGTTTGGCAACTGAGAAATTGAAAGAAAAGAAACTACGGTTGCGTTTGGTAGAATTTTAGAATTATGATTTGAGAATAGAGTTGTATTTTGAGTTTGTGAGTTTTGTAATTATGATTTGAGTGTAAAAAAATTGTTTGGTTATGAATTTTTAAAAGAGTTTTGAATTGAGTGATGTAACATATGATATAAAAATTTGTAATTTATAACTAAACACATAACTCAATATTCTATTTAAAACTCATAAAAAAATTTCAAAATATTTTTTATTTAAGGGGTAAATTACACTGACACCCCCTGAGATTAATATTTATTACAGTTTCCCCTTCACATTTTGAAAATTACATCTCTCTCCCTGAGGTTTAAAGTTTCATTACAGATTCCTTCCCTCAACAATTTAATTTTTTTAAATACCAATTTTGCTCTCACTGGGTAAATTACATTGACCCCTCACATTTTAAAAATTACAATATCCTCCTTAAGGTTCAAATTACCAATTGCCCCCTCGGTTGGTATTAGTTGGAAAAAAAAAATCATTGAAAAAAAATTTTGTTAGTAAAATTTTAAATTTCTGTTTAAAAACTAACATAAAAAGCAAATTTTTGTTAGTAAATTTCTGTTTAAAAAAAAATTTGTTAGTAAAATTTTAAATTTCTGTTTAAAATCATTTTTTAAATTTTCATTTTTTTCTCAAGTTTACAAACTAAGACAATCATTTATAAACCAAAAAAATTATCAAACACGCTTTTATGACTGTTTTTAAAATTTTTGTAAATATAAATTGAAAACTGAAAACAAAATGGTTACCAAACAAGTTTCAGATGATACAAATGTCGTAAAATTAACAAATAATTAAATAAGTTACCAACGTAAAAAATAACTTATCAAAAAATTCTTAAGCTATGTGTGGTTTGATTTTTAGAATTTTTTTTAAAAATTAAAAATTAATTTGGTTAAGAAATAAAAAAATAAAAAAAATTATCATTTTTATCTTTCGAGTGGTTAGAAATAATTTTTTACAAATTAAATTGAAACAGCCACACATATGTATATAACTTGTTCAAAAGTTAAAATAATAATTATTTTTCACCCTTAAATGATAATTATTTTTTAATTTTTATTTCTTAACAAATTAATTTTTTTTTAAAAACTTCTGAAAATCAAACCATATATAGGTTAAAAATCTTTTGATAAGTCATTTCTTACGTTAGTAACTTATTTAATTATTTATTACTTTTACGACATTTTTACCATCTGAGGTCTGTTTAGTAATTATTTCGTTTTCAATTTTCAATTTATATTTACAAAAATTTTAAAAACTGTCATAAAAACTTGTTTGATAATTTTTTTGGTTTATAAATTGTTGTATCAGTTTTTAAATTTGAAAAAAAAATGTAAATTCAAAAAATGAGTTTACGTTAATTTTTAAACAGAAATTTAAAAATTTTATTAGCAAAAAAAATTTTCTAATTAATTTTTTTTTCACTGAATTTTTTTCCAATTAATACTAACCGAGAGGCAATTGGTAATGCTGCTTTAAACCTTATGCAGGATATTGTAATTTCTAAAATGTAAGAAGTGTCAATGTAATTTACCCAGTAAAGGCAAAATTGATATTTAAAAAAATTAAATTGCTAAGGAGGAGAATCTGTAATAAAATTTTAAACCTTAGAAAGGGAGATGTAATTTTCAAAAGGTTAGGGAAAAAACTGTAATAAATATAAATTTCAGGAAGAGTTAGTGTAATTTACCCTTATTTAAAATATAAAAATAACAAGTGTAAAAAAAAAAAAAAATACTGTTCCGATCAACCGGCTGAACGATCGACTGGACATCTAAGGAAATGTCTGGAAAGATGATCGAGTAGATCCAAAATTCAAAAATTCTGCGTTTTTCGTAATAGAAAACATGAAAGAGAAAGAATAGCCAAACAAAAAAAAGAAATATGTTTTAAAATCTGTGGTAGACTCACAATTCTAAAACTTTATCCAAACAATACATGTAGAGGGTTGGAATTAAGTTTTCAAAGCTGCACCAAAGACAGCCTAAAATTTCGAATCTGCCTTTCTTTAATTCATTATTCGGTGACAAAACAAAATAAAATAAAAATAAAACCCTGTACTCAATTGCTCCTAATTGTTACTTTAGCTCAAACTAAGGATGCCCCATTTCCCAGAAATCAAAAACAGACAACTTTCAAAAAAATTCTGTCTTTTGGTTCAAAACAAAAAAATCAATCACGAAGAATGAAAGAATTACCCGAAGTAAGAGATCATCGAGGAGTCGTCTGGAAGCAGATTCCGACGAGTGCTCCGGCGGGGGAGGCGAACTGGCGGTCAAATCATTAAATTAGTCAAAAAGCCAACAATCCATACCAAAAAGTCAAATATTCTCTTTTCTCTCTACTTTTTGCACATGTTTTTGTAATTAGCCAAAAAGTTATCCCAAACATGCAAATTTTTTTTACCTACCTTTTTAACCAAATAGCCAAAAAATTACTAAATTAGCTTGTTCCCAAACGAGGCGTAAGGATGCCCCATTTCCCAGAAATCAAAAACAGACAACTTTCAAAAAAATTCTGGGCTCGTTTGGTTTGATTTTCTGAAAAAAATTTGGGAAATTTTCTCTACAAATAAGTTTTCAAAAATAACCAAACCAAAAAAATTTCCCAAAACTTGTAAACCAAACAAGTTTTCCAAACAAATCTCTCTCTCACACACATCAAATCAATCACTTTTTTCAAAACTCTATCTCAAAATAATTTTCCAAAACATCTTTTAAAAAAAACCAAACCAAACATGTTTTCGTACTTTTTATCTCTAAAACACATCTCTCAAACACAAACCAAACATACCCTCTGTCTTTTGGTTCAAAACAAAAAAATCAATCACGAAGAATGAAAGAATTACCCGAAGTAAGAGATCATCGAGGAGTCGTCTGGAAGCAGATTCCAACGAGTGCTCCGGCGGGGGAGGCGAACTGGCGGTCAAATCATACGACGTCGTTTGCTCTTGCAATTGTTGTGAGTTTTGGGTTTTCAGTTGGAATGCCCACAACATGTTCGATAAAAGTTCCCATTGGTCAATCTCTTTTTGGTACTTGTCTCTCAGCTTTGCTAGTGCCCTTTTCTTCATTTCCCGCCGGTTCATCTCCTCCGCCGCCGCCAGATCCGGCGGTGGAGCGGAGGAGGTGGTGGTGGTGGTGGGGTTGGGACGCTTCTTGCGCTTGTAAACGAAGCCATCGATGTTTAGAAGCTCCCACTCGTCTTCTTCGCAGTCTGCTGTGGCCATGACTGCCCAGAGCGGGAAATTAGCAGAAAAAGTCTCCTCTTCCGAAAATTTTGAGAATTCAAATAGTTATTGGAATGTGGTTGGACTTATTGATTTTTTTGTTTTTTTTTTGGCTATTTTTGTTTGGGTATTGGTTTTTTTAAAGTAATTTTTTAACTTTTTAATTAAAATATGATTAAAAAAAAATTAGTATATTTATAATGACTTTTTAATTTTTTACGAAAAGATGTGTAAAAAAGTAAAAAGAAAATAGAATTTTTAACTTTTTTGTATAGATTATTGATTTTTTAGTTTTTTTAGTGACTTTTTGGCTAAAATCATCGTTTGCCAAACGAGACCTAGGGCTAAAAAGTTTCATTTTTTATAGGTTTTGTCTTTTTTGACTTTTATGATAAAAAAAAAAACAAAATTATTATGATTTAAATGTGACATTTTATCTTATTGGACTAAAAAGTATATTTTGTCAATTTTAATAAAAAAGCCCCGTTTAACTTATGCTAAACGAGGGCTTAAGAGCTGTGTGATTAGTAAGATAAGTTATTTGTTGGTGTTGGTGAAGGGTGAGATTCACAAATTTATATTGGGTGATCTTTAATGCTTTACTTAATTTATGGAAAAAAATAAAAAGAAGTTAATTTGATATTGCACGTTTTTAACGGAGTGATTTGAGAATTCATCAAATCATTGAACGATTTGAGAGACGATCGGCCGATCAATCGGATAATAAATTTTTTTTACAAATTTTTACAAGGAGGTAGTCATCAGGGGGACAAATGGTCGGACATTCGGCCGGTCATCTAGTGGTGAAAATAACATATAGCTCCAACTGTTATAAATAGTAATTTGATCAAAGGTAAATTTATTCTCAATTTGATGAAATATTTGGTAATAAGTTGGAGTAGCAAAATGTTAATTTTTTATCAAATTAAAAAAAAAAAAACAATATTGCCTCCTTGGAATGTTTTAAAAAATATATGAAAAATATTTATCTTCATGGGAAAAGCACACAAAATAATAAGAATAAGAACAAAAATTACACTGACTTTCCTTCATTTAAAAAATATATATATATTAACACTCACAAATTTAATATAACGACAATAAATTAATGAAAGATTGATGTAATTATAATAAAATTATAAAATTTATTCTATTTAGTTTGAAATTTTCAAAAATAATTTTTGAATTTTTAATTTGTATTTTGCATTTTGTATTTTTAATATATATATATATATATATATTGTTTACATTTTAAATCTACTTAATCTTAATATACTTAAAAAAATAGTATAAAATTATATAAAAAAAATCTTTAAAAAAATTGCCGAATATAGCAAAACATAAAAAATATATTTAATTTTTATATGGGAAAATTAGTCTATGGTCTCTCTCCCACTTTTCGTAATGGAAGAGATCCACAAAATTACTTTTTGATATCTAATGTCCCTAAACATATATCAGAGAAATTTAACTTTTTGTCTCTCGTCCTGTACTGCAGAGCAACACTTCCCCTCTCTCTCTCTTTGCGTTCCAATTCCGTCATCATCTCCTCTTCTTCTTCACGCGACACCTTCAGTTCTTGCGTTTTCTTCTGCATTTATGTTGGCGTCATTGTAGATGTGGCTTTTGAAGACTGTGCATCTTGCTTGGCCTATTGTGTGAGATCCTGCAATAACAAGTATCAAAGTTTCAATTCTTGATTTTCTTTTAAAGCTAATTACTTGGAAAAGAATTATGAAGAATATTTGTTATGAATTAAGTAGATGTACTTGAAAGAGCCACCAATTCTTTAGCAATGAAACCTTTGTTTGAAAAGGCAGTTATAAGATTAGAAAGGTTTAAATTAGGTCCAGGGAGATTAGAGTTAGCAGCACTCAAACTGGCCGTGTGGAACAGTCCCCAACTTGATCGTTCCATCACCAACGCCGTCCATGTTCCGGCGATGCCGAACCTTGACAGAAAAAACAGATCTGATGGTGCTACGCTCTCAAAGCTTCTTTCAAGATTGTATTTCATTAATTGATTTCTCTTTGCACAAAAACACATTTTAATATATATATATATATATATAGGTTGTTATTGTTGCTTATTCACTCAATGAAATGACCTTCTCTCTCTGCTTTGAACTGAAATTTCTTTGAATTGGTGAAGAGAAATTTTCTTATTTGAACTAAAATTTCTCTGGGTTGGTCCAGAGAAATTTTCGGGTTTAAACTGAATTTTCTCTGGATTAATCTAGAGAAATTCTCTGGTTTGGATTGAACTAGTCCTCAATGTTGTACAGAGAAATTTGGCAACCTCTTCTTTTCCAACTCTCTCTGTATTTTCAGCAAGAGCAAAAGTAGCTTGAAGAAAGGGTTGCTACGTTGTCTAGAGAAATTTTCAAAATTTCTCTGGAATAGTCCAGAATTTCTCTGGACCAATTTTCTCTGTGACGTGAATTTTCTCTGGACTAATTTTCTCTGTGACGTGAATTTTCTTTGGATCAATTTTCTCTGGACTAATTTTCTCTGGATTAATTGAGGGACCTTAGACATTATAAAAATATTTGATGTCCTTTATGCTATAAAATCTTAATACGAGGGATCTTAAAAAAAACCCTTTTTATATTTAGTATTTTTTTTAAAATTCACAAATATTATACATTTTAAATATATATATATATATCAAAAAAATAAATAATCTAGGTAAACAAAATTACTAAAAATTAAAGGAACACAAAAAAAAAAAAAAAATTAAATCTCAATTTTATTAAAAATGAGTTAAACCAAGCAATTTTCTAAATCTGAAAAGCGAAAAGTGTAATTTACCAATTTAAAAAATAAAAGTAAAGAAGTTACCAGAAAGGAGCTTTGACAATTATCATCAGGATTCAGAACCCTTACCCGAAACTCTATTCGGACAAAGAGTTGAATTTTCTTTCTCTTTCTGATTCTGATTCTGATTCTGATTCATCTTCTTCCTATCCTATACAACGTTCCAAAAACATGTTCAAGCTCTACTTCTGGAACAACTTTCACTAGCTCTCTCTAGCGTTGTTCAATCCGGACAAAATCATACTACATCGATAGAGAGAGAAAGAGAAGGATATGTCGTCGCCTGACATGAATGGAATGATGGACAACGCGAAGGAGCTCGATCGGTTAAGGAAAGAGCAAGAGGACGTTCTCAGCGAGATCAACAAGATGCACAAGAAGCTCCAAACAAGTAACTCTTTACTCTTTCCTCTTCTTTTTTTTTTTTTTTTATCAATCTTTCTCTTAACCCTAGATTTCTCGTCTCTTATTCAGGCTCTTATGTGTAGCATTTATGAACATTATGTGATTAATGAGTATAAATTTTAGTAAATTTGTCAAGTGTCAAGTTTTGGGTGGATGATAAGAGTTTGGAGTAAAGAAGAATTTGGAATATTTTGGTAAAAAGGACCTATGTGTGAAGCTTTGATTGGATAGAAAATTTGAGTAAAGGAAATGGGTCTCCCTTGATTTTTTTTCAAAAACACAATTTGGTATTCATGCTCTTATGTGTAGCATTTATGAACATTATGTGATTAACGAGTAGAGATTTGGGTAAAGGTTGGATATGCCCTTAACCATGTTGGCAATATTGGGTTTCATGCTATGATTTCACAATTTGTGGTGGGATGATTTGATGAAGATGGGTTAGTTGTATAATTCATGCCAAAGTGGGCAAATTATTCACCCACAACTTCTTCAAATGAACACAGATACCATAAATTAGTATATATTCATCTATTCTTGGTTCTAAGTAATCACTACTTGCTAGATTACGAGTAATCAAGAACTAAAACATAACAAAACCAATTTCTTCAGTTTTACATAGGCAATAAAATGTTACCCATGTGAAACACAACTTGACATGCATATATGGGTGTTGGATAAAAGCCGTAATACATTTTCAGTTAAAAGTAACCAAATAAGTATACATATACATTTATCTTTTGGTGAGTAAATGATTTCCTTTCACATCTTGATTTTCTTGCTTAACTGTTAAAGCTAGTTTATTCACTGTATGATTCTTTGCATGCTGATGCAGCTCCTGAGGTGGTTGAGAAGCCTGGTGATAATTCCTTGGCACGGCTTAAGATGTTGTATACACAAGCCAAAGAACTTTCAGATAGTGAATTGACGTATGATTATTCGTATCTCTAAAGAAGTAGATGACTTCTACCTCTTGTTTTAAAATTGAAAATTTATTTTCCTTCTCTAAATTGAATGTTATAGCTTATAAGGAACATTGTTTGACGTTGGGTCTGGGGTCCAGCTAGAAGCTAACATGGGGTCTAACCCTTATAATTCTTCTCGGTCATTGGCGTCTTTTGTCCGGGTTGGATTCACTAGACATGACTAAAACTGTAATTAGCTTCTTCTTTTCTTTTCATCACACCAGTGTTGCTTTCGTTGTTTGCAGTGTTTCGAATCAGTTATTAGTGCAACTGGATGCTCTGATGCCTTCTGGACCTCCAGGGCAACAACGAAGAAGGATAGGTGTGTGCGAGAACTTAGTTATGGAATTCTGTCTTATGAAAAACTGACTTTAAGCTTTTTACATTAAGCACTTAAGCTTTTGCATGTTATGATTTTTGTGATTGATGCACAGGTCATTGTGCGTGGCTCTTGCAAAGTTGGTTTTCCTGTAAATGTGTATTTATTTTCCTTTTTCTTTTTGAGCAGCATAGTCTGAACTGGACATTAGAAATGCTTGCCAGAAAATGTAAAGAAAAAGACACTCTAAGCTTGCTGCTGTATCAAAGATATTTTATCTAAAACATTCAGACTGTTATTGTCTCAAATAGCCATGTGATGAGCAGACACCTTAGGTAGATAGTTTAATTTACTTGTTTTAGGAAATTGGCAATTTGCATGTGTTTTTTTTTTCCCCCTTCTTCCTTGAGTTTTTTATTTTTAAATTTTTTGTATGTCTTTTTTGTCATCCCCTCCTTCCTTTTTGCTCTTGCCAAAGGTATTGGTGGACAACATAGTGGGAGGTAGTTAACTTTGATAGATGATCAGTCATCGTTACTTAAACCATAGCATCACTATGTTACTATTCTCTGATGTATCTTGTAAATGTTGTTTCTCCTAAGGGCAGTAATGAGGAATCCATCAAGAGAAATTCATATCGGACATGCATAATCTTTCATTTATGGTACTATAAGCATGCTAGATGCACTGATACCTAATGCAGTGAGTATGTATTTTAACATGTGATTGTGTTAGTTCTTCATTTATCCAAAAAAAAATAAATATATGTATTGTGATTGTGTTAGTTCTCATGTTGCTGTGTTAAACATTAAGCTAACTACTTTACATAACCAAGTAAAATCTGGCACGAAAGGAATGGTGTCTGATCTTGATCACTTGTACACATGGCCTAGACCAATGAGTGAATGAAATGCACTTTTCATGCCTTAAATTCCAATGCATCCTTGGTGTTGTTCTTTGTGAAGCTTCCATGCTTTAAGCTCATACTGCATTGTTTACTCTTGTTTAAGTGTTAAATTATGTATTATGTTCATGCAGAAGGTAATGAACAGAAAAAGAAACGAATGAAGGCCGATTCAGATATCTCAAGGCCTACTCCATCAGTGCGAAACCACCTGGATGCTCTTGCTAGTCTGAAGGGCGAACAAGTACTAATCAAGTTCTGAAGTGATTCATTTTTTACATTTGTTGTTCTATATCATGCCTCCAATTCTATTTTTTTTTTCTTGACTTATTCTTTAGGCAGTCCCAGTGTAATCTTTTACGCTGGAGGAACATTACATTTCCCTCCCTGACGTCTACTATATTTCTCAGGTAGCAGCTAGGGTCACACAAGAAAATGCTGAGAAAGATGAGTGGTTCGTTGTTAAAGTTATTCATTTTGATAGGGAAACTAGAGAGTAAGTTCAGTTTCAGTTCCACCCAACATAAGATTGTGCTTTGAATGCCCTTCATTCTCCTGCACGCCTCCTCTCTCTCACACACATGCACGCACCCCTTACCTTTTTTCTTTTTAAGTTTTTGTTTTTTGGACCAAGGAATATGTTTGAAGTTTAATTTGATAATCTACGAAGCATAAATCACATTGTTCTGTTGATTCGGCCACCAGACTGGCTGGTCTAATATGTTTTGTTGAGAAAGCAATGACAATTGCTTCTTGTTATTGAAGTGCAAGTCTTTGATGCAAAAATGGGTCAAATCCGGGAATTTATACGGTCAAATTCGTGAGTTTTACACTGATGGGACCTACAGCATATGGCACAAGCTCCCTTCACATGAGAAAGCTCATCCATGTTGGAAGACAAGAGTGTGTGCCATCTTTTAATAGAACCAAAGGCTTTTAAGCTTTAGTGCATTGCTGATGTGGGATAGCATTCATTAGGATGAGGCTTTTATATTGACATGGAAGCCTCACGGAATGGAGTAGCAACAATGTGGAAAGTTTTAAAACAAACTTCTTGCATCTTGCAAATTTGATACTGGATAAGGTTTTTGGGTTCACCATTGGTTGTGTGTTCCAAATTTGATGCACATATCTTGCTATGTGGCTTAGGTGGTGGGATGTCCTGTCATGTTTGTATACACCGGAAAATATTATTTGTTGTTATTCTCTACAGCCATCCTCCTATAATAGGTTCTCTGTAGTTTTGTAGGAGAAAGAGCTATAACATATTTTGGAAGCTTAATTGTGATGGAACAAAATGAAGAACACGACTGTTTTATTTTATCTTAATATCTATTTAATCATTGTCTAATATATCTTTATATGCAGATTTGAAGTACTTGATGAGGAGCCTGGTGATGATGAAGAGGGTGGTGGCCAGAGGTAACTTTTGTTGTGACTTCCTGGGTTGCTTTAGATTGACTTCTTAAATTCAATGATCAGAAATATTGAGGGTTTAGACAATGAATTGTGTTTCTTACTGTATACTTGATCAAATGTGGTTTATTACTACATCTGAATGATGTATTTTAATTCTTTATCGAATTTCTAATTTCAGAAAGTACAAGCTGCCTTGGTCACATATTATACCTTTCCCAAAGCGGAATGATCCCTCTGGTGCTCAAGATTTCCCTACTGGGAAACAAGTTTTGGCAGTATATCCATCAACAACTGCATTGTATAAAGCAACTGTAGTTCAACCTCGCAAGGTAAACAGTTTGTCCATGTGTTTTGTATCCAAATTGTGATTTGTTGTTCTTGCATTTGATTCTCCAGCTTCTTTAAAATTTGAACCTGGTGGTGAACGGCCGAACTGACCACTTCTTGCATTTTGCATGCCACGTGATGTTCTCAACTATTTTTCGTGAAATTTCAGAGGAAGGCTGATGAGTAAGTGGCTTCCCCTTTTCTTTTATTTGAATATTGCACACACGGGAATAATGCATTTTGTGGCATTTGTGAACCAAATAGAAATGCCAGATGATATAATTATTTACAGTTGGTTTGGATTGCGGAATTTGGAAAGAAAAAAATAAATAAATGCATCTCTTTGTTCATGTCACTTGTTTTTTGGACTAATAAAGAGGAGAGAATTATTGTGAATTGGGAAGAAATAGAAAGAAAACAAATTCTCTTAAAATTCTCATTTTAAATTTCTCCAAAATTGGAGAGATTGGAGAGAAAAGTAATCAATGGAATACTATTTTTCATAATACCAAAGCTGCCCAAGATATAGAAGAAATAGAAAAGTTTACACCTATAAACACATATAAAAGATTATTTTGGTAATATAACATGAAACAATTTCTTTCTTCTCTCATGAGTTTAATAAAAAAGAATTCATTCTCTTTTGTCTCCTAACTGAAGTAATCATTTCTTTTATTTTCTCTTCTGTTCTTCTGAACAGAGTGTAACTGGGTAAAAAAGTCAACTATTTTTTATCCCGATAAGTTTTATTTAAACTTTTGTTAATGATAACATGATTTAATCAGCTGAATAACAACGGGATCTTGAATGCTTGGAAAACAATTAGTGATATAATTTCCATGTGTACTGGTATTATTAAGGGTAATGGAACTAATCCCAGAATTTTGGTCTTCATGATAGATGCTTGTGGGATTTGTAACTTAAAAATGCCTTTGAATATGGTTGTGATAGTAGTTTTCATGTTGTGGCAGTTATGTCTTGGAATTTGATGACGATGAAGAGGAAGATGGATCTTTGCCGCAAAGGATTGTACCCTTCCACAGGGTCGTAGGTCTCCCAGAAGGGCATCGCCAGTGAGAATATATATATACATATATGTTGTTCATATGTATGTTTAAATTTGAATTTGTTCCACTGTGTTGTGCGTTGGACATTTTAGGTGCCCTATGCATTTATTAGTATACTTTCAGGGATACTTTCATATGTATGTGTAGCACTCGAAAAATTACTGGCTTATTGGATATCCCCGAAGGGCCAAAAATTACTAGCATATCAATTGCTATGAATATTGTACAAAAAATAATTTTCAAGAAAATACTTAAAATAATAAAAAAATAAATATGAGCTCTTTTATGTTACTCTTTCAATGTACAAAAATAAATAAATAAAATTATATAGAAGAATTGATTAAATTTTTCCTTGATGAATAGTTTTGAGAAAGGTAGTAATTATGCAAATTAAGGGATAAGATTAAGGGTAAACTGTCCTGGCCACGCTGACTACATCAAGAACATGATCATCGGCGCCGCCCAAATGGATGGTATTATTCTCGTGGTTTCTAGCACTGACAGTCCAATGTTGCAAACGAAGGAACACATTTTGCTTGCGAAAGAGGTCGATTTAGGGTTTAGGGTTCCGAACATGGATTTTTTGGAATAAACAGGGACAAATCGACAAAGAAGAGCTTTTAGAATTAGTCGAATTAGAGGTACCCAAGCTTTTATCGTCTTATGAATTTCCAGGAGATGATGTTCTGATTGTTTCTGGTTCTGCATTGTTAGCTTTAGATGCATTAATGGTAAACCCTAGTATAAAAAGGGGTGAAAATCAATGGGTTGATTGAATTTATGATTTAATGGACCCTGTTGATAGTTATATACCAATTTTCCAAAGACAGAAAGATTTGTCCTTTTTTTTTTCGCTATTGAAGATGTGTTTTCAATTACTAGGCGCAGGACAGTGGCTACTGGGAGGGTTGAGAGGGGGAGGATTAAAGCTGGGGACAATGCTGCCATTGTTGGGTTGAGAGAGACTAGAACTACAACTGTTACTGGGGTTAAGATGTTTTCAGAAGATTCTTGATGAAGCACTTGCTGGTGATAATGCTGGGCTTTTTCTAAGGGGTATACAGAAGGTTGATGTTAAGAGAGGTATGGTGTTGGCTAAGCTGGGGATGATCACACTGCGTACTAAGTTTGTTGCAATTGTGTATTTGTTAAAAAAGGAAGAGGGTGGCAGGCATTCGCCTTTCTTGGCTGGGTATAGGCCTCAATTTTACATGAGAACTACTGATGTTGCCAGGAGGATGGTTTCAATTATGAATGACAAGGAAGAGGAGTCGATGATGGTTATGCCCGGGGATCATGTTAAAATGGTGGTAGAGCTAATTATGCCTGCGGCATATGAGCAAGGAATGAGATTTGCTATTAGAGAAGGTGGGAAGACTGTGGGTGCTGGCGTCATCCAGTCCATTGTCGAGTGAATTTTTATTTTTATTTTTTCTTTCTCAGCATACAAATTGAGAGTTTCATGTGAGTTTCCCACCTCCATGTTCAATTACTGTGACAATTCTAACACAAACCGGTTTTGTTTTCTCTTTTTTTTTTTGTATTCTTGATCTTCATTCTTAGGCCAAGTTTGGCATCCTTAAAATAATCCATCTTTTTATCTTTTTTTCATCACATCACCTCTCTATTTTTCTGCACATCTTTTCGTAAAAAGATAAAAAATGCATTTATTTAGCTCATCTCAAACAACTGATAGTTTTAAATTTAGAATATGTTACTTTCTATAACAAAATTCTGGTGGCATTTTTGCTTGCTTTTGATATAGTTTTTAAACTGGATAGGTTTCTGAAGTATCTTTTGTCCTTGTTTTCTTCCTTCCAAATTCAAGAAAATAGTCTTTCTCTCTCTCTCTCTCTCTCTCTCTCTCTCTATTAACCTACATTATACGAGCTCCAGGTTTGAATTTGATTAAATTACGCCTGAGGATTTGGTATTGGTGGTTCTGACATGAAACCATTATGAATTTGATTAGCAATCCAAAAGTTTGTAGCCCAAGAATAGTTGACACCATCCCAGCCGATGATTGTTGAAGGATTTGAATGTTGAGTCTTCGACAATACAACTGCTTGTGGATTAATGGTTAAGCTACCTATGTTGACAGGTTTATAACGGTACGAATCACAACTCGAAGGTTTTGGAGTTCACTTCACTGCCCAAGATGTTTATCTCTGCCTCCGTTTGGCAAGAGCTAAACGGGGCTTTTTTGGCTATTTTAGCCACAAAAGACAAAATAGGCTATTTTAGCCACAAAAAACAAAACATCACATCCAACCCATAATCATTACATTCTTCTCTCACAAAAAAAGCCAAAAAAGCCAAAAAGCCAAAAAGCCCTTCCCAAACCAAACTTTTTAGCCCAGGCTAAAATAGCCAAAAAAGCCAAAAAGCCAAAAAGCCAACCCACTTCCCAAACGGAGGCTCTATGTGGGGTGTCAATTTTATTATATTTGGTGCATAGAGAAGTTGCACCAAATTTCTAACACGAATTTTCAAAATTAAATAAAAAGAAAGTATGAACTTCAATAGTTGTGCCAAACAGAGTTAATGTAATTCTTTTTATATTTATAAATAATTTTTTACATATTAGCAAAAATAATATATACAATTTTTATTACCAACTATTCAGACATAGCAATTTTATACAAAGTAATATATACTTTGTGAAGAGTGTTGTGAGTGATATAATTATTTTCTACCCTTTATTCACAATAGGAGTGAGACCACATAATCATAAGAGGTGGGTTTTAATTCTCATTATAAGTTGAAGGTAAAAAAATGTGATTGAAAATAGTATGGCTATAATCTTACGAATAATTATTCAGTAATCTTGAAGTATAGACATGTGGTATTTCATAGTATTGTGATTGATGAGGAAGGTGAGTAAATGATGTATTGTGTTCGGTGATTGGAAAACATAAGGTAACATATTGAATGATGATTGGTTAAGAAATACAGACATGTGGTACTCTGAGAACATTCTATAATTTCTATAATCTTACACATTATTAAAGGTAATTTGAGCAAGTGAAATCAACTAATACAAAGTATAATGAAATGAAATAAATAATAAAACACAAAGTATAATGAAATGAAGAGCATATACATTAGTACTCTAAATAAATTTTTAAGTGATGTTTTGCTCATCTCAAGCATTTTTTTAAAATCTAATTCATATGGATGTATAGCGATTTTGAATTAGACCATAACAAAAAAAAAAAAATGTAAAAGAAGAGAGAAATATATATATATATATATATATATATATTAATCTGCATGTTAAAATTTTAGAACAAGTTTATGCTTTATCTAAACCTCATGAAACATGTCAATTATTTGATGCTCACACAATTAAACGACATTTAAAATCTGGTCACAATTTTATTCATTTATGACTAATTCAAGTTGGAATCAACCCATTAACTTCACAAGGTAAAAATGCTTCTGTTTTGTTATGTTTATGTGATACTCGTTTTCTTGATTATAATGATAGTTTAATGAGTATGATGGTAACCGGTCTCCACAAAGGACCCGTTCATTTTAATTGGTTTCCTGATTTCACTTTAAGTTTACGTGATCCACATATTTTAGATGCATTAACTTTGAATATTCAATTAAATGGTTCATTTACAAATATGAAAGATAAAGTTCATAATATTGTTTTAATTTATCGTGTTCATTATAAATGTATAAAAACTAATTTAAATGTTCAGGCTTTACATAAAAGTCCAAAGGATAAAACTTTATTAATTCAAAGTAGTGGTAATGATATTAATATTAATACACCACAAATGATTGAATGGAAAGATATAAATCTCCCTGATCAATGGATTACTACTAATGAAAATTACAAACCTAATCAAAAACAATTTACTAATCAAGATATCCAAGATGTTCAACAATTCACTGATGGTTCAGTTTGTATTAAATTTAATCGTAGTCAATCTTCTAGACATAGTACTTCTAGTGTACTTACTGATACTGATATTGATGATGACATATTTAATACTCCTTTATTTCAGCAAAGTAGTCAAATCAATCTTGGCCGAACTTTTGGTCAGACTTCTCATAGTCAATTAAAAGGAATTGATAACTCTACCACTTCTCAAATTAATAAACCTGTTTATTCTACTCACACACACGTACCTAAAGATGATGATGAATCTCATGGTTCTTCTACTCAAACTGGTTTTGAAGTTATACCTCCAATAAATCCTCAATTAATGATAATCAAGAAATCCTTTGCTCCTGATCTTGATAGATTACTTATTGAATTTAAATCTAAAGAAAATAGAACTAAAAGACATGCTTACCGCTCTAAATATGATTCTGCTCAACATTCCAGAATAACTAGAAAATAGTATGATTTTATGATTGAATATAGTATGGAATTACCTTTCTTTGAATACTTTGAAAATTATTACAAAAAAGTTAATACAATCACAAAATATAAATGGAAAACTTCCCCTAATACTTCTATTAGCTCTAGTCATCCTCTCTTATCTAATATAATTATTGAATGTCAAGGTTCTGAAGTCTCAACCTCTCCTTTTAAGTTGTCTGGCACTGACTCTGAAATTAAAAAAGTCATTGAACAAAATAATTATACTAATAAATGTTTAAAAACCATTGGTAAACAATTAGATAAAATAGAAATCAATTTAAATGATTATTCTGCTAACCATACATCTACTAAAACAACCCCAGATCAACCTTTGCTTAATTTACCTACTAATCGCTCTAAACGAACTAGTTTAGTTACCAATGATAATTCTACTATTAAAAAGCTATTGAACAATTATTTACTAAATTATCTACTACTAAAACAGCCTCTCCATCTAAGGATAAAGGTCTAACTGTTTTAAATCAACAACCTATTACAGATACTATATCTAATCAATCAAAAACTGATACCACCGACAATGAAATAAATCAATTAGCTCAACAATTTCCATCCTCTAATCTTAATAAAATACATTATCCTAAAGTTAATCCTCAAACTACAAAAATTGTTATTCTCGACCTACTCCGCCTGATCTCCAATATGAAGAAACTAATCTCAACAATTAATTTTCTATCTCCGCTAAAAAGTTATATGAATGGAATATTGATGGTCTTAGTGAAGATCAAATCCTCCAAAAATTAAATCATTTCTCTATGGTCTCGAATAGTTATCTTAGTAATTACCCTGATTATTCTCAACCTAAAATTGTTTCCTTAATCACCTCTGGTTTTACTAGTATGCTCAAATCTTGGTGGGAAAAATACCTTACTGAAGATCAAAGAGAATCTAT